GACTAATTCCCAGATCATACCAATCGTTTTACGACCGGAATAAGCTTGGTCAACATTGGTTCTGGATGAATCATAAATTGAAAAAGAAAAAGAATTACTATAAGATTTATTTATTTCTGAAGGGTAACAAGAATAAACGGATAAAAATAAAAAAAATAAATAAATAAACCATTAAGTACTAAAATGAAATCCAAAAATATATTTATGTTTATTTAACTTGATTTCATTTTCAGCTCAACAAAAAAAAAAAAAAAAAAAAAAAAAAAACCTAAACATAAAGCAAAAGATTACATAAATGAAACGATGAAAGTACTAATGGGAAGCGGAATTCGCATATAATCTGAACGAATCCATTGATTTTGGAGCAATCCAACCAGGAGGGTGTCGCTCTTTTTCTTTCAACGTTCCTCGAATTTCATTTGAATCTGTATTATTTGATTTGATGATTTGTCGATAAGCGGTAAAGATTTTTTCAACCGGGATAAGGTTTAATGGTTCGATGATATCAACCAATATTTGACCATTAATTCTTTTGAAATCAATATATTCTACCAAAGGTTCCAATTCTTCTGCAACTTCTTGAAGATTGGTAATGAATTTGTTTTCTATCTGAATCCGACTTTCGATTTGCTCCAAGGTTGGTAACCGTTCAATAAGGGTTTCGAACGCATCATTAGAGATTTTCTTTGCCACTAAAGCGGCGCTATACCTGAACACTTCGTATTCTGAAGTCACGAGATGTTTTCTATTTTCATGGGTACAAAATAAAAGGTATTGAAGTGCGGGAATCGATAATCTACCGAATTCAATGGTATGTAATGGAACGGCGACTATCTTTTCAACCAATAAATTTAGGAAGATGTTATCATCCGTTAATGGCATCGTATCAACGACTTTAGTTAACATCTCTGGCAAATAATTTTCATCATTCTTTTTAATAGCATTTATGATTAAAGCTTGAAGGTCTGGTAACTGAAAAAAATCTGCAGCATTAAAAGCTTCAATCAAATTATTTTTGGATAAAGATTCATCCTTGACCATTCCCGTATAAATAAATTCCAATACAATTTCCATCGTAGAACTAATGATTTTTGGAAAGGAGATCTGCCTTTGATGACTTTCTCTCATTCCATTGTAAAGTAGGTTTTCAAATACATCGGATCGTGCCGCAAAAATCGATCTAGTTCCGTATAATATAATTTCATCCTCGCATAAAATTTCTACATCGCTGTACTTTGGGTTATTAATTAATAACCTAAAATCTTGGCTTAATGAATTTCCTCTCGACATTTGTCAAGAAAATATATTGGAACGGGATGATTTAATCGTGTTGGTAAGGAATGTAAGGAAAAATTTGAACTAGGTATTTTAAAAGTACTCGTAAAATATTTATCGGCACGTATATTTATATCAAAATGACATTTCTATATTTGGGAATAAATACATTTCTTAAAAAAGGTTTCGATCGACCTTTTTGTTTCCAAAAAATGATAATGTCACAACACAGCAATTTAACAATTATAATATATCACGAAAAAAAAATTAACTTATTTATTTACTTTCATCTACTGTAATAAAGTTTAAAAATGCCGTTATCAAGCTAGTAGATTCGACCATACATTTTTTAGTAAAAAGAAAAAAAAAAATTGAATAAATATCAAAAAAGATAAATAAGTACTATTATATAAATCAATGCTTTAGTAGAATGTCAAATCTACCGAAAATCACTTTAAAAAAGTAAGCTATTCAAAAAAAGTAGATCCTCAAAAAGGGAAAGTTGTTTGATTGACGCAACAAGTTATCGCCAACGGCGCAAATGTATTCAGATGACCTTTAAAATCCTTATACAGTGCTAAATAAACTTATCTTGCTGCAATTAATAATATGGCTAAAATATTCATTTATCAGGAAATTGATTCATTTTTAAGAAATTTCTTCACATAATCACGTACTCGAGAGTTTTCAACTTAAAAACATCAAACTTGACTGCATAATAATTCAAATTTTATTATATGTTATCGCGGCTTATACAATTAGAATTGTCGTTACTCATAAAATTCAATCGATTAAACAGAAATCTTTATACTTCGACCAGAGCCTTTTAATTAATCGAACAAGTAGGGAACTTAATTTACAGGAACATGTTATGCAAAGACACGATTCCATTTTTTTGTTCTACGGATGTGAAAATAGCTTTTTATAAATAATTACATGAGCGAGAAGTAAAATAAATACTTCAATAAAAAATATGAGAGATTCTTCGTTGCGTTCTTGGAAAATTGATGTTAAGTTCCTGTCGACGATATTTGTCTGGGATTTAGTCTAAAAATTTCAAGGAAGAATTTTTTTGAGTTGATAATACATTATGTGAGAAAATCGATTGTCGCACATTTTTAAAAGGCACGTTGTCACACGATCACCAACGTTGAGATGCAGCAACTTCGATCAGGGGCCCTATAAAAAGAATCAAAACTTTATTAGATAATTATTGAAGAAACGAAATTAAAAGAGCAATAATGAAATCGAGTTATTATTTATTCGGCTGTTCTACGCGAAATCCTTCGGTTGTCAACGATGGGAAGCGTAATAATAATGATAAATAACAATTATGATAATAATTTATAAATACAACGTAAAGAATACAAATAGAAAGTTTAGGTTTTGTTGTTCGACAAACGAGGGATAAGAAAACTAGCTATCTCACAGCTCAACATAGGTGTACATCCCTTTCTTCTAAAAGCAACAGCCAACCCTAGCCATCGCGATTAAACGGTACTGTAGCGCCCTATGTCCATCATCGACGTGAGAAGATCTCCCAAAAAAATGGGTATGGGCGGTGCGATGTTTTACTATTGTTTTCTTTCCTCTGAAATTTGTAAGTCGGCTCGCAAACGGGAGGTTTGCTATTAAATTCACGTTACGGATCATATGTTCGTAACTCGATTTTAATAGCAAACCTCCCATATGGTACCGTCTCGTCAAAATTTCAATACTAGTATATAATTATAGTACTTAATAAAAATACAAGTAAGAAGATAAAGAAAGAAAAAAAAAATAAAAAATAAATAAATAAATAATAATAATAATAATCATAAAATAAAAATAAAAATAAAAAAAAAAAAGATAAAATCGTTCATGAAGGGAATGAAGGGACTTTTGCTTTTGTACAAACATTGATTTTGTGAAACCCGATTGCTAATCTATGCCTAATCACGCCAAAAGAATCGTTTATTTATTATAAAACAATATACATTGTGATACGCGTTAAAGAGGTTCAACTTCAAGATCTCTTTACGAATTGCCGATAGAACTTTGCTCCGCTTTGAATAATTCATAGTTATATACGTAGGAAATGATTCATTCTAGCAACAAATTGTATTTTGTGAAACATCACTTTTCACATTTTTAGAAAAAATCGTTCATTACAAAAAGCTTTTTTATTTTTATTTTTTTTTATTTCCATTGGAAATAATTAATGGTGATGTGATGAATATTTGTTCGGTTTAAAGTATGACAGGTCACATGTTGAATTTACCTTACAAACGGGGCTTCCTTTCCTCAAAGAAAATACAAAATTCGAAAATCTATGTGTAAAGTATAGTGATATAGAAATTTTTGATTTTATTATGAAGACTGTTAAGTTGATTAATTCGCTTCAATCTCTCTTTTTTTTTATTTTATTATAGTACACAAACATAGAATAATCACCAGTTGGAAAATTGTTAATTCAGAAAGATGATAATTGGAGCCTTTAATGACTTTGAACGAATCATTGAAATGTTCAACCGAGATAATTTATATTTATCAACGAAAAGAAAGATCAAGCAAGTTCGAATGATAATTTGTCATGATAATAACGTATAAAACGAACGGATCGAAATATTAAAACAGTTTGCGTGCATAAAAAAAATATATATATATATAATCTTCAGATTATATATGTAGATTATTATTATAAATTTGAAAATAACTTTTTTTTTTTAATTTTATTATTTGTCATGAAAATAATAGTATCTAATGATACTGAGCATCGGTTCTTCTTGTTGACATTTGATAGAGACCCATGTTATGTTCGTTATCGGATTAAAGTTAAATTAACCTTTCTGGAAGACAAACTTGCATCATATGAAACATGATGTCATCTTGTTGTCTACGGTAAGGACGCCTGCATAATTAATTAATAATCCATCAATATTTGAGATGCTACATGTGAATAGTGAATAGCTCCATACGATTGATCCTCATTGGAGCAGCCGAACTTGTATAGTAACGCATGTCGCTTATACGACACAAAAAAAAAAAATAAAATAAAATAAAAAAAAAACTTTGCAACGCATATTCTATTAGCTCGATGTCTCGATTGGACTTATACGGTGTTCGTGAATAAAATCAATGAATTTATTAACGTATTTGTGGCACAGCAACATCAGGCAGGCTAGGAAAGGTCCGAGCCGCCGACTACAAACACTCGTCTAAATCCTACATCGTGTAAATACGAAATACGATCTCTGAAATCTTTCATGAATTATAAATTTCGGTGATACTGAGATCATAATTATATATAGATTACCCTTAAATATAATATTGCGTTGTAATACATTGATATATCGATCAATTTGTGCAAGATAAAAGGGGATAGGGATTTTCCCTAAAAAGAACTAATGCATATATAATAAAATAAAATCATTATCATTATTCCTTTTTTTCGATTTTGTAGATAAAGAAAAAATCTGCTCGACCTTTCAATCTTTTGGTTCACGTGCCGGTGATCTCCTAAATCCCCTTCATCCTACCGAATTGAACACGTGAGCGGTAATTGTGTGATTTTTTTTTTTTATTACATATTGCACGGAGTTTATGCTAAAATTTCCGTTTCCAAAAAATATAAATAAATGACAAAAAGCGGATGATCAGTAAACATTATTTTTTTTTTTTTTTTTTTTTCTATTTTTTTTTTCTTTTTCCACTTTTCATCTTCCTTTTTATAATTTTTCTCACACATGGCATGTTCAAAATTATTTTCTGGAGATTTGCCGGAATTGACATACCATATTATAAGATATTTAGGAAATGACCTGAGGTGTCTTCATTCATGCGTTTTGGTTAACCGGTTTTGGTGTCGTCTCGCTATTCCCAAACTTTGGGAGGATCCTTTTTCCACCTCGTGGCGAGTCAACTTTTGTCATCATTTTCTTGATATTTACTTTTTGTTATTGAGCGAAGAAGATAAAACGAGGGAAAAGGAGTTTGGAAAATACGAAATCGATCATCGAATGAATTCATTTTCATTTAACCCATTATTCAATTATCCAATTTATATTAAAACTTTGAATACTTATCAATTAAAATTACACGTTATCAATTGGTTGGCTTATCTTGAACAAACTTCAAATGAACCCTTTGTCATTCAAAATGATAACCCTTACCCTTACCTTTCTTTAATCATGACACACGATAAATCAACGGCGAATTTGGATATCAAGGAGAAATCATTGAAATCAAGGGGGATGATAAGCGTCCTTTGCGTTTTATTATTCAAATTATTTATCACGAACGGAGCTTCTTTAAACGATTTAAATATAAACATTTGTCGTAACGTTGAATATTACTTCATCGAAGTATATACGCTAATATTGAAGAATCCAAATTTTGTCTCGGATGTTGAAAATTTTACCTTGATATTTCCATATACGGATTTTCCAATCAATTCATCAAGAGACGTCATCCTTCGATCCTTCTTATCCTTATTCACCTCAATAAAGAAACAAACCCTTTCCTTGAATTTCATTGATAACATATTACTCACGAATAACCTAACGAATTTAATTCAATCTCAAGCAAATCTATCATCGCTTACAATTACGGCATCAAGTATTTTCATGACCGATGCCTTCAGGCATTGTTCAAAGACCTTGACTTTTTTAAAGTTCAATTCGTGCTACTTTATAGATAATTCGTCATTTCATGGGTTGAGACACCTCACGCAACTTAAATCCCTTCACGTTATTGAATGTTTGAGATTGAATCATGTCATTCAACCTTTGCTCGACATCCCTACCCCGTTGAAAATCAACTCCTTGACGATATCTTGTAAAATTACCACGATCGTCCCGTTACAATTGTTATTTCAAAAGATTGGTCCTTATCTGGAACATTTGGAGTTGGGTATTTATAATAATATCATGAGGGAAAAGGCGTTGGAAAGTGTTATTGAACATTGTGACAAAATCAAATTCCTTCATTTGAGTAATCTTAATGTTATTGATAATCCTCGATTATTTAAATTAATCACCAATTCAAGTGATCACCTTAAATATCTTACACTGGAATATAACAATTTTAATTTGGATAATAAGGCTGATTCATTAGAAGGTTTGGGTCAATTATTAACAGGAACTTTAGAATACTTAAATTTAAACCTCCATTTTAACCCGGGCAGCCTGCGGACCTTCCTGAATGGTTATAGAGGTGGTAGAATTAAGAAATTGATAATCAGAAACAGAAACTATAATTCTACGCTTGATACTTCAAACGCCCTAAAAGATTTTGTTAAAACGAAGAATCTAGATTATCTTTCTTATAGAATTGAGAATGAATATTATGATGACAATGTAATTCATGTTTTGGAAGAGCTGATCAAGGAGATTCTCATCTACGTGAAGGTGAAGAATTATGAAGATTTAATTGTAAAAATTACCGATTTTGATGCATGAGAAAATCAACGTCGTCTTTTTTTTTCCTAAAAAAAAATTAAAAAAAATTAAAATAAAATAAAAAAACCGAAATTCAAAAAAATCTGGATGGTGTAAAATAGTCGACTGTTATAGTAAAGTAGAGGATATCCGTGTAACATTGTACCGAGGCTCGATCAAAAAAGTATGGACTTTCCGTACATTCATATAAAGAGAGAACATCTAACTTGTAATAATGTTTGGCAAAGGTCAAAATCACAATGTCGTTACGAACTATAAAGAAATTGCAGGAAACATAATAGAAAGGATTCACGTAAAAAAAACAATGTTTAGTGTATGGGATTATTTATCAAAGAAAATTAAATGTTTTTGTCTATAATATAAATATACCCAAATTTGGAAGTTCAATTATGACAATTTTTATAAAATGGAATACAAAATATAAATATTACGCAGTAATACCTGGGTATCACTTTTACGGATGACGCCTTACATAACGCAATGTTTCGAATTGACATCTCGATTCCATTGATGTCAAGTTTTTTGGCAAAGGAATTATTTTTTGAGATATTGGTTAAATTATTACTTGATAATATTTTAAGTGACAAAAAAAGTTTGTAATTAAAGGAATCATCAAGACGGATTCCGGTTTAACGGTTTACTCAAACGTGTTTCCGATAGAAAATTTTTAATCGAACGTTAAAGTACTAATACGCGTCAATACGGTGCCAAGGTTTTCTAATCGAATAAACTAACGCAGTTTATGTTATTTTATGAACCGACCTTTTTTAATGCATGCAAAATAAAGTGATCTTCAACTCAACAAACTCTGTTTACAAAATCTTGGCGTTGACAAAAAGAAATTATTCAGAAAAAAAAAATTTATTGCCTCCTTAATTCAAGATAACATTGCCCTCCCTGTTCAAAACAGCCAAGAAATATCTATTCTTGGATTGCTAAAAACACCTGTGGGATGACGATTTCCTTCATGGTCCATAACATGAATTAGAAGGTGCCTCGAAAAGAAGTATACACTATAATTTTCAAGCATGTGCTTTCTAATCATTAATGACATAAAATGTTAAATAAAATAAGAATAGTCAAGAAATATTAAGAATAGTTCAAAAATACTTTCTTGTAAGGAGATTTCAATGTATGTTCTGAAGATTATCGGAATAGAAGACCAATCTCCAATTCTGAACTTGTAAAAGCAACAGTAAGCGGCAGAAACAACAGCTAATAAAGAACAAAGGTAAGATTGTAAGAGAAAAATTTATGGCATTGTTGATACTGGATTATATTTGATATGCGTTTTATATTGTAACGTATGTACATGTACAATGGCTATCGATTTCATGATGCTGCGGTTTAAATTTTTTACAGCGTTTTTTACTTAAAAATATAAATAAAACAAAAAAAAAAAAAATTCATGATAAAAAATTATTTATGATTGAAGTTTATAATTAGACTGATTCTGCAGGTTAAAGAAGTCATTTTATTCAAAAAAAAGAGCATATAAATGATGTAAAAAAAAAAGAGAAAAAAAAAATGTTCTAATTATTTATTACTTTTTCTTTTTTGATCCAATAAAATAATAAAAATAAATAAAATATATTTCCTATAATTTAATTTTTATCAAATGATGATAATTGATATAAACATGTTTGATGATTTGCTCTAACCCCATTTAAGACTTTCTTAAACATTTTCACTTCCCATTCATTTAATTCCTTCTTCTCAATAACTTTCATATCATCCCATAACCCCTTTAAATACCCCTGATATGATTGATAATATTCTTTTGAAGCTGTAAAATTTCTCGTGAAATTGTCCAGCTCAGAATTCAAATCCTTCAATAGTTCTTTTGATAAAACGTATTTTTTTAAATCGTTCTCCAATGTTTCCTTATCCTTATCAAATGCTTTAAAATATCTGGCCATGTATAATAAATTACCAAAGGGTTGCTCATGATAACCTATTAAATTCTCAAGGTCATATTTAATGAGATTAACTTCAGAAAATATAAAATCATTATATTTTTTGAGTAATAGTGTATTTTGTAATGCTTCATATATCACATTCTGTATGTCCATCAAATCCTCAATTAAAACTTCCAGGGAATTAATTATAATAGAATCATCCAATTCTTTAAGTTTTTCCTTGTTATATCGCTTCCTGAAAAATAATGTTTGACAAAATTGTTGTATTTTATAAAATATGCTCCGAGAGGATGTGGATGTTACATTGTTCGATTTCATAATAATTGGTGTTTTGAGATAATAATTATACTTGAGAATATTTGAAATGTTATGCTCCATGTTTGAAAAAGTTTTGAGACTTTTTGAATAAATTGATAAATATGATTGATGTACCATTTGATAATGTTTTAGGAACTCCCCATGATTATTTACAATATTTTGTTCCAAAGTATTATATGAATCAGTATCCTGTAATAATAATTTTAGATAAATGTAATATAATGGTATTCTTTTCGAAGCTGAAAAAAATTAATTAAATGGGTTAATTTTTTTTCCATGACAAAAAAAAAAAAAAAAATTATATAAAAAAAAAAACTTAATTTAATAATAATCTTACATAATAAATAATCTGTCGAAACAATTTTATTTCCCAGTATTTCCACAGAATTGATATATTCATTCACAAAAAATGAATGTGCCTGTGGTGATAACTTTAATTTAAAAAAAAATATAAAATAAATAAAAAAATAATAAAAACAGATAAAAATAAACAAATAAATTTTTTCCATTTTTTTTTTTTTTTTTTTTTTTTCTTTCATTTCAAAGTTTCAATACATACCACGAATTCATTCTGATAAAGCTGAAAATTTTCCTACAAGGTAAATTGTAGATGAATTTAATCGTAAGAAAAAATTTTTTTTAAAAAAAAAAAAAAAAAAAAATTTTTAATTTACCTTTGATAATTCTTTTTTATAATTCAAAATTGTAATTGTTATAATGAAAATGATGATGAATATGTTGATATATTTGTTCGGTAGGCAAAAGAGTTCACCATTCCGTGAGGATTTTCTCCTCGATTTTCTCTTGTGTGGTTTTGTCGAATCGCTTCTTCGATGTGGCTTGCTAGCTTTAGTCTGCTCATCCCGTGATTTTTTTGATTTTCGAACCTTAAAATTTATATCATCCTGAGCATTGTTATTGTTATTATTATTATTATTACCCGTTTTCGCAAGTTCCTCGTAATATTTCTGTATTCTTGATGTTTTTCTAATGGTAGTGGTGAGTACGGGCATTTTTTATTCGTCCGAATTTTTGTTCTTTAACCCCTCTTATTTTAGGCAAGAAAAAAAAATTTTTTAGGGCGTTTTATTTTTTTGAAAAAAAAAAAAAAAAAAAAAAAAAAAATAATTTCCACTTTTGCTTTTCGAGATAGATTCAATTTATAAAGAAATTACAAATTGCCAATCCTTTTCCAAATAAATTGAACTTGTATTTGTATTTGTTGTTTGTTTCGGACACAAAATTTCATATGGATTTTCATTGTTTTTTTTTTTTTTTTTTTTTTTTTTTATGTGGTCTCAGTTTTGGACCAAGGTATCACAGTTTCGAGAACATTCAAATCCCCATTTCCTGAATTTCATTATCATCATCATGACGTTCCTTTACCCTTCTTTCTATATCCTTATCTTTCATCATGCGTTGACATTTATTCCACATTCGATTGTTTTTATCGGAAAACATAATTCCCATTTATACCCATCAAATTTGGTTTATTTAATCCTAATTAGTAAAAAAAATAAGTTTTTTTTTTTTGCCGCCCATGCAATTGCTATTTATAACATCAAACGTAATCGTGCGGTGGAATCGTAATTCCGAATTGCATGAACGACTATGGGAATGAATTCACCTGTGACACACTTAAAGGATTCAAGGAACTCTTGGGTGAAAAAAAAAATAACCTTGGGAATTTCGTGAGAAAAAAAATTTTTTTTTCATGTAGTGAACGCAATTCGTTCCATCACGTGTAGCTTGGATAACAAAGAAAAAATATTCCCCCAAACTTGTTGGCACAAATTTTCTGCACCATCTATCCCAGTTTGACTAATAGAAATTAAAAAAGGATTGAGCGACAGGTTTGGTTTGACATAATTCCTGCAGCATCACCATTAACTATATTACATATGACATACATTCAATGCGCGGGTGGGCTCACAAAGGCGCAGCATCATTTTTTGATGGTCAAATCTTTCGACACGGGGGGACGCGCGCAACGCATCGATTTATAACAAAAAAAAAAATAATTACGTAATTTATAATCACATTAAGATAAATAAGGAATAGTAATTTTGCAAGATGTGGATCGAAAAAAAACATATAAAACATATTACATATATTATAAAAATACAATAAGATATTTATGATGAATAAATACATAAGTATTCGTACATTGAAAATGAAAGCTAAAACCATATATAATTATAGGATATTAACAAAATTATCGAATTATTTACTATTATTATAATTACATTCATATTTCCGTGTTTGAAATGTCTTGGTAGTTAAATTAAAAATATATTGAGAGTAAAAAGGGAATTCATTAGTAACAATACTGTGGCAAAGAAAATGTCTCAACACACCAACACGATAAACAATGAATCACGGTTCGAAAAACCTAAACCAAACGTGTTTAACGAAAGTTACAACCCAAGTGTACAAAGCGTAGAAATCCATTGCGTCTCGCACATGTTTGATGATTAACGTACCCCACTGAGATCTCAAATCATTAATCCACCTTACAATCAACTGCATACGCTCCTTTACAGAACGTTTTTCCAAAATTTCATACTTTTCCTCTTCACTTATAGGTAAAAGCGACGCAACATGAAATGAAAAATCCGCCGCATTTTCCGGAATATCCAGAGATGATGACAGGTCACGGAGGTGGAGAACCAATGAAACAAACTCGTTGCCGTTGATGAAGTCACGCGCTATGCTTATTAGCTGCGACGTGGTTGGTTCGTGAGCTGCAGAAGGTGAACGGTTCCTACTAATTAACCTTTCCTCCTCGTCAGGTCCATCTTCTATGATTTGAATCTCTGAGACCTCATAATCATTATCCTTTGCCCTCCTGCTTGAGAGTATCTTAAATCGATTGGTGGCGGTTACTTGTAGTATCAAATCGCCTTCGTTGTTAAAGTCAATCTGCTTGATTTCCAGGAGCGTTCCGTATTCACACCGCCTTGAAAACACCATGCCAAATTTCTTGCAATAACGAGATTCCAAACATGATCTAATGAGCACTCGATACTTTTGCTCCGTGACCTTGAAAGTATATGACATTTTGGGAAATGCCAAGTGACCAACATAAATTGGCATCTCCTGGAGTAATCTCCTGTCGGCTTCCAATCTTCTTTTCTCCGAAATGATTGGGTCGGACAGTTCACTTGGGTGCTCATAAAAGTACTTTGTATTTGGTATTTCCGTCCTGCATTGCCTCAAAGGACATCGGCCATACATGCTCAAGCAATGCAAAATACATTCCTTGCAAAATGTGTGTCCACACGTTGTGGTCAAAGGATAAATGCAAGGCTCTCCACAGACATGACAAGTTTTGTTATTTAACATGAGCTCTCTAATGTGACCAAGGTCAAAGTGATTACGCGTATCTTGAAAATCTACTCGTTCGAAACAAAAGCTCGCTGCCCAACTCTGAAGCTCGTCACAGTCAGTTTTAATGACCGTCACGTAGGTTAGTTTTGGAAAAAATGCGTTGAAAAGGGGTGCGACGATCTCTTTGGTGAGGTTGTAACATTTCATAAATCGTAAAGCTTCAAGGTTCGTACATGCGGCTAGCCCATCTAATGGGGTGCAATAGAAGAAATTTGCACAATTGAAATCGACGCATCGTAAAGATTTAGCTTGCGTTTCCAAAGCGTTGATAATGGTCTTTGTTGGCGCAAGATATATGCTTTGAAATAATTGCAAAGCCTCTTGCTCTTTTATGAATTTTGCTATGTCAATGGAACTACTTTCATTAAATCTTCCCATGTCTTTCATGAACACACCAAATTGTTCCTAAAATAAAAAAAATTCGGCCAATTAACACTAAATAAAAAAATGAAAACTGTAAAAAAAAAAGGAAACGTAAAATGAAAACAAACCACTTTTTTACAATTTTTGGCAAGGAGATTAAAGAAGCGAGGCTTATAAATGTGCAAATCAACCCAAAATTCTATTTACGTTTGAAATCAGGTATTCGTGTTCCGGTTGCACGTAAAACATTGGCGTGACCAAACCTTTTGTTCCTTCGAAAATGTATAATGTTCTTTTTACATTCTTGCATTTGCTAAATAATTTTAATAAAGCTTTCATTACGATTTCAAATGCATGACCGTCATAAGGGGCTCTTTTCTCTTGAACCCATAGATAAATACTTGAAATAAATGTACGATAATAGAGATGCTTATGATATGAATCATAAGAGAATAACGGTTTGTCAAAGATAACGGGCAAGCTAACTCCATTATTTCTCAAATCTTCTCTATCTTCTTCGTCCAAACATGCTAAAAATACGTCAATTATCCTAAAATAATTTGGATTCGCAGCGAACGCATTCGAATAATAAAATGGTTTGGACCAAAGGATTTCAATTATATTCGAACACCAGTATCTGTCCACGAGAAGGCATGAAAATAATGTTCTTAACCCATTATGTCCTGCATCTAGGTTGCGAAAAATCTCTTGAATGATTTCAGGAGGGAGAGATGACATTTTTGCTTTTAGGATAAATCAGATAAATCAGCGTCATGAGAGTTACAAATTTAAAATTCAATCCCCCTTTTAAAACATTGGCTTTTGTTTTTTAAAAAAAAAAGCAAAAAATGTCTCCTCCCAAAATAGGGTAAGTTTGGAATTGAAGATAACATTTTATTTTTTTTAAAATAAGTTATTTTATCAAAAGGGTTTACGATTTTATCAGAATTAGTTATCAAATTCACATACGCGATAGTAGATAAGTTAAAAAGAAATATTTTAAGATATGATTTACCGACCGATTTACTTTAACCGAAACCACCCGGTCTGAATCCTAAATTCAGAAACATGTCGGGTTTAAAGTATCATTTAAAAGGTAATAGTAGGATAACTTTTTCATATCACTTTATCTTATCAAATCGATAAAAGCTATACGTAAAATGTACAAGGAAAATTACGGATGCAAGAATCCTAAAATCGTTTTTGGTTATCATTCATTTTGTTTCAGCTGAAAGATATTCGCGAGTGTACACGTGAGCTAAACAATTCACGTCATTTCCTTAAAAAAATTAGGTGGGAAGATCACGATAACTCATTTTGGGTTTATTTTTATCTTTTCGTTTGTTCATAAGTACAGTATTTCTCATCGTGTCAGTATGAGATTCCAAATCGGGGCATAATCCCCTAAACCTTAAAAGAATAAAGTCAAATATCAATTTGATAAAGATAAGGTATGTCATGGGAATAAACTACATAGATTTGCTTTGATGAAGCATTTATCCACCCATATTAGTATATATAAAGTCGTTACGGATTACAAGAATTATAGACGTAAGTCTTGTTAACGCAACTGATTTACATTATATTCTCCGCAATAGCAGTAACACATGAACATCTAGCGTTCCGCAGTGAACTGCTCATTGACGGAATTTTTGAATTTTTTGAAATTTTTTTCGAATTTGATTTTTTATTGTACAGAGCAGTGTGTGAAATGGAAGAAAGAAGTTTAAAAATCGACAGATTTAAGCTTATGATATGCATATTAAATATTCATACATATAATCAAACAAAAAGAAAAAAAAAATATGAAATCATGTATATATTATGAATATATAAATTAATAATAATAATAAAAAAAAAAAAAAGGACGACTGATTTAAAGCTTATGTTCATAAAAAACATTTTCTATTCATAGTATTAAATATGTATACATATATAATAAAAATCACGTATATCATGTGAATCAATAAAAAAAGGGTAAAACGTAATTCCTTATGTGTTTGTTTCTTATATTGGTGAATTCGCTTGCTCGTTCTTAATAGTTTTCTTTCCTTGTCCATAAGCATGAACAAGATATTTTAAAGAGTCCTTAAATATTAATAAATGCCCGAATGCATTCAGACGTATCAGATAATGCTTTCAAACTTAAATGGTGACGCTGAGGATCGTTCGTATTGTTCGTAAGGGTGTTGTAAAATCGTATAATGATGTGGGTTTAGTACCATTGAATTCGTCATGTGCATTTGTTCTGGTAACAAATCCACGTCATTTTTCTCGCTTACGGGAGAATCAAAGATAAATTGATCCGGTTCATTATTCAAGTTCATATGCCTTATCGTTGAAAGGTAAGGCATAGGTTGACCCGGGGTTGATATTTGCGGCATCGCACTTTGCTCGTATCCTAACGCGTTGAATTGATCGATCTGAAACTCGTTGTTGGAACAATACAAAAACTTTGGACAATTATAGAATTGTCGGCAGGCTTGTATTGTTCCAAATGGTTGAGTTGTAATGGGGTGAATGGGTAGATCAATTGAACCGTAAGATGGTATCGTCTGGTAATTTTGTTCCGTTGTGATTGATTCGTTCATCATGTATGGATTCGCGGCAGCATGTTGTGAAGGGATTACATTATTTACAAGCTCGTTTGGAGTAAACAAATTTGAGGGAGCAGTCCATACGGGCGCAGTCGATGAAAATTCCGGGGAAATATCACTTAACGTTGGACTTTGTAATGAATGATTTACATCTTGGGAAGCCTTTCCTCGGATACGAGAGTTGTTCTTGGATTTCATGTTGTGAGACTTATCTCTATTCGGCTTGTAAACGTATCCTGGATTGATCACACCATGTTCGGTCTTTGCAATCTGTGAGAGTTTTGTAAATAATTCAACGACTTCTGGACTACATTTTTTCCAAACTTCGCTCGCGAGTCCGGACACGATAGGAACCTGAAGTTTCAGGCTATCGATGGCCCCTTGAAACATGGTTCGAAAGATGAAAAATTTATTCGGAGGTCGAGCTGGCTTGTCAGGTTGAGTCTTTGCCCTCTTGTAGAAGAAACGATCTCGGATTTCTTGTGTGGTCGGTACAGGAAATTCAATCCTCAACCCATCGGTCAAGCTTACGATCACGAGGCAACGGTTCATTCCTTGCGAAGAGTCGAGAATCGCATTGATGACTTTACCGGTGGCCACTCTACGTCCATTGCAATGTGGAATAACACCTTGATTATCGTTCGGCATTACTAATGTTTATGACAGAATTATTTTATTTAAACATGGGTCAATTTGTATTATCTTCTTTTTTTTTTTTTTCTTTTTAGTGGCCTGAAAATGAGAGTTGACACCTAAAGGGTAAGGGAACGTTTATTTATATTTTAAAATTCCTCGATGTACCAAAATTAAATAGTACCGAAATGTTGAATTTGTTTAATAATAAGGTCCATATTATGATGTGAAGCTAGTTACAAAAAGCTTGGGTACCACGGGGCGGTTAATCCGACTTTGTACACGAGAGATTTCCGTGTAATAATGAACGTTGGTAATTACGTTTAGTCTTATCCGTTAGTCAACAATATGACATTTACGCGTAGAATGATTTTTTGCTATTGTTTCGTAAAAATACGATGTTAGAACGTTACAACAGCCAAAATGTTTAAAGGGTGAGCAACTAAAAAAGAAAGGACAACGGTTGAATTCCGATTGTATTGATTCAAGTTTGAAAAGCCTACTTATTAAATCTTTTTTTTTTCAAAGTTCACATTAACCGTTTTAATCTCACAATCGAATTTGTTCTCATTTAACATGATCTTTTTTCATGAGCCAAAGGTTACTCATTAGAATTTGAATCACAAAGATTTTAAATTCGTGCATATTCTCTCATACCTGAATACAATTAAACGCAAATTGTATTTGTCTTCATAATAGGATTTCCATCTTTTTATTATTCTTTGTTTCAAATTTTTTTAAAATTTTACCGTTATCAATTATTTCGTATATAGTATGACATCAATGAAATCGTCAAAAAGAATAAAAGAACTTTCGTTTTTTATGTCAATTAGTTTAGAATCTTATCAAGTAAATTGACATTGATTTCCTGATATTGTAATATGGGAATTGATTACCAATTTTGCTTCAGGCGTACATGTACTTTATCATGCAAGACAAAAAACAACAAGAACCACTACGTTGGGGGAAGTTGCAAGTTTTTTTTGGCGCCAACCAATAGGAGATAATTGAACTAATTGTCATGATTTCAAAATTTCAATGACTAATTGTTTTTATCTTCGATTGATGATCTTAAAAGGTAATATACTATTCTATCTCTTTGATATTTGGGCAAATTTGAAACTACTCCTGCAGCGAAAACTACATACATCAAACGCTTGCTTACTATCAAATCATACAGGGTTTAGTGGGAAAACTTAAGCTTGTGAATTAAAATAAATCCTTTTCCGTCACTTAATTATACATGTACAAACAAAAAGATGCAATTTTTTTTCATGCTGGCATTAAACCGAAACGAGTTAATGACAATAAAAAAGCCACTCGGCTGCGTTTTTGCTTCATTGTTAAAATTAGAGTTATGCAGACGCCGTCTATTAACCCTTTATCATAAATATTCCAAAAGGCTGGAAGAATATGCTCGCTGATGCCATAGACTCGTGATTTACCAATCTGCATGGTGTTGATTTAAACAAATCTAGAAGTTAATTATTGGTGTTTGGGAAATCAGATTTCATTGCCTTTTTTTTTTTTTTTTTTTTTTTTTTGTTGGGTAATCTGTTGACGACGACACTCTTATTCTTTGGTTAGTATTTTCTTTTTAATCCATCAATTAAGGTTTTAAATGAGATCTGCATACACATGATTTATCAAATGTTTTTCGTCGTAACGCACGTAATGCAATGACGTTATTCACCTGAAAGGGGTTCATGAATGGTTTCATCAAACATCTCCTACAAGTTTACAAAACGTAGTGAACAACTTGTAGTAATTTAATGAATGAATGAATTAACAATGAAACATAATAGGCTTACTAATCGCGTTTCGCCAACCCATCCACCAACCAAAGCGCAGCGCTCCGCATGTGACATTTTAAAAAATATCAACAAAGTTGTGGCCGTCAGAATTATTTGAGCCGTAAACGGATTAATGAAGGGGGAGAAGCATGACAAGAACCTTTCATGCTTTGTGTGATTTATATCAAAATATTAATTAAAATGATTTCGTCAAAGTTAAAAATTTGAGAATCACGAAAAATCTAACCAAACTTTCTTCCATGGCCATCCAATCTCTCGACTCCCATTGCTTGTGATCCTTCCATCCACGCTTGTTGATTCCTAGTTCATCACACTGCATGGCGCAACGATTGCCTATCATTCTCAACAATTTGGCGGACATTTCTTCGCACAACGAAAACATTACTTGCACATCATCGCAATTACTGCACATCAATATCGATTGTAACTCGGAAATCGCCCTTAATGTCGGTAAGGTAAAAGGATATGCGGTTATGGTATGCTCCGTGTTTTTACTCGCAGGCCGATTCTTCCAGGTGTATGCTTCTAGAATCAGATACAAATTCGTGTACTTCAAACGAAGGCGGTTTACGGTTTGCACAAGTTTCGAAACCGTTTGACCTTGAGCAAGCTTATTTAGTGGATAAAATATGGCTCCGGTTCGTTCGTCGATAATGATATCGACGTCCACATGAATAGCATCTGATTCTCTTTCCGACAAGAAAGGCTTTATTTAACGAATCGAATGATAATAAGAACAAATATCAAAAATTTTCAAAGCAAAACTAAATGAATGCTTACCCTCATGTACTCGAAATCTCTTTCGATAAGCTCTACTTTGCAATCTCTGCTCTTCAATGCAGTCAAGAGTCCACGATTCGGTAATATGCGTGCTGAAGCAATATACTTGTAAGGGACTTTGGGTTTTGGAAGCCGGTCAAGCATAGCCTTGCTAATGGAGACTAAGTAGACAGATTATGTTTAAAAAGATAAGACTCAAAAAAATAAGCGCCTCAAAGCATAACAGTTTGCGAATACCAAAGGAATCCTTGTTTAAAATCGACACGCTTTGGTTCGTAACGGGAGTCACGTGAGAAGTTGGTGAGGTCGCGTTATCTGGGGTGACGATTTTTCTTGCGATTTTGTCAAGTGAACTAGTGGCCCTTGGAGCTTTGTCTGTTATATAAAGGTGTTAAATTAAGGGTTACATGTTCCATTCCGTAATAAAAATTAATTTGATTTTGACCACCTTCTCGTCGCCTTCCTGGTGATAATTTTCCTCGTAATAGCATGTAATCATCAATTGATCTAGTTGCGGAAAATGAATCCGGAAAGAGCGTTGTATCAAAAAGGTTTGGTCTATTTTGCGACGAAACCTTATTTTTAAAGAATGGAGATGTCTTAGAAGAATAATGTACTATAGGAATCTCTGGTGCTGAAATCTTTGGTGCTGGCGATTCTGTATCCCGAGTTAAATCGATACATTCAATATCATCATAGTTTTCAACATCATTATTGTTCCTTAGGTCTGAAAGCCTTTGAGGAACACGATCTTGCCCAGACACATTGGGAATAGAATCATTGACATTTTCTAGTGATGGGGCCTTTTCATTTTCGTTTCCGATCCTAATCCAACTCATGATATCTGGAATTGGGTTATCAACATTTCTAGATCTTCTAGCGGTAGGTTTGCGTAATAATGGTTGTATGCCGGTAGATACATTTTGTTTGACAGATTTTTCCTTTTGATTCGAGCTCTTAATAGGAGGATCCTTCCTTCTCGAATAACTCAATGAATGGTTATCGTACGCATCAATAGAAAAAGAAGTAGCGGGTTTGTCTTGTGGCGCAATAAAGGTCGAACCACTCTTTTGGATCTCTGATCGTTTTGCCACTTCGCCCCTTTTCTTTTCTTTCCTTGATTTTAAATGAGTTTTATCGTCTTTGTTGGTGATTTCAACGTCAGCTAATGCCAGAAAATTTTCCGAATCAAGGAAACTACTTCCTTCTTGAATTATCTCTGTCAAATCATAATCATGTGAGGTGTGGTTTAAAGCAATGATGTGGACAATTCCTAACTTTGCAGCGGTTTTGATTGGATTCCAATGAAGATCATGTTCCAAAATTTTGTGGGGAACAGTTCGGAAATCGCATGTTGAAGGGCGAGAGGGAATCACGACCTGCTCGCCACTTGTATATTTCAATGGGTGGCGTGACGAAAGTTCTTTTTAGAAGGCCGTAATTAATACATTGTCGAATCAAAATAAATCATTCGCTTCTTAAAATAACGGATATAATTAATATTTCAATCCACCTGATTCATCCATAGATTGCATCATCGCAAGCATTTGCCATTTGTTACCCAAGATTTCAGCATGAGTTACATTATCGAGACCTCTCCGAAGTTCTTCGTTTTCGGGCGGTGTTGGTATTGTATTTTCAGGAAAGACGTGATTGATGACGGATATTACTGAACCGTTCCTACTATATATAAAAGAGCGCTTGATATAATGCTTGGAAGGCGAAATAAGATGAAAGAAGAATAACGCGTACATAAGGATTTCATCATCATCTTCTGATGAAGTTTCTTGCTTCCTAAAATACTTCATATGATCAGATTTTTTTAATTTTTTTCTTACAAATGACCAACTTTCCCGATTTACTTGCCGACGCTTTCTTTGATGCACTTCTTCTAAGAGATCATGTTCCGCAGGTATCAATACCGGTTCTAATTGAGAAATTCAACAAAAGTGTAAATGATTCCTTTTATTTTTGTGAAGCAGCGAGCGTGAGGGTTTCCAACGAAACTTACCTAGTCGAATCAAAGTGGGAATGTCGTGTATCACTTCATCCTCTTTAGAATCATCGTTCAAAGATTCTTCCAAATTGTTTGTCCTACCCGCTCCCTCTTTTAAAAGGAATTTAATTTTGAGCATACATTCACATTTACACGAGATAAATGATGTTACGGAAGTCAAATAAATTTATCCCAACCGTTCATCATTTCTAACGGTGCTCTAACACCAGTATCTTCGATGACCGAATCTGCCTTGTCCATTAGTACCTCCGGCCGAACCAAGGACACAATCTCCGAAATCGAATTTGGGACATCTTGCACACAATTGATATCTTTTATAGGCAAGAGAGATTCTTCATGATATTTATCATTCGATCGTAACCCTTCAAAGGAGATTGTTTCATCCTTTTGTTCAAATTCTTTCTTGATGGCAAGTTCATCATCGCGTAATGTACTATAAAAGTAGAAGACGAATTTATTAATTTAGGTGGTAATTCCTTTTTAAGGTATTATACGTATCAAGCGTATCAAATGTATCAAATGTGTCAAATATGATAAATGTATTGAAATAAACACCATAAATCCTCCATTTTAAATGTTTTCTCATCTAGAAATGGTTCAGGCACGTTGAAACGAGTAAATTTGGACGTTAACGATTTGATGGTGGGAGCTTGATGATTGTTCTCCAATTGCGTGTTCTCTGGGAACAAAGGCTCCTCGAATGTCAGATCACGTGTAACCACGTTCTCTACAATGTTTAAACCTCATGAATCGCTACTTCAACTTATTTAAGAAGGTTAAGTAAGGTTAAATACCGAGATTATTGCACATGACTGGATCTGGATCACTTATTTCATCAAGCATCTCAGTAAAGCATTCATTGGCATCGTCTGCAAAGACTTTGGAGACATGATCACCTTCTCCTTCTGTAACACGAATCATGGATTCGTGTTCAAGAGGAAACTGACTGAATGATTCTTTAACGAAACAACCGTTAATTAGCCAAATTTAATTTTGACGTTGACACGAGATATTATGATTTTGTATGTTACCATTTTTGTTTGGTGAAACTAATTTGTCAACTTTTCCAATATTATCGTGTGACATCTTTTTTGTCTCTCGTCTCAATTAAATATGGATGAAAAAAAAAAGAAAAAATGATAAAGTCGTCGCAAGGTAAGGGAAAAGGGTATACTTATAGTCGGATCACGAAAGTATAAAAAAAAGTTTCTTTTAAGTGCTGCGCCTCTACATATCAAAAGCATTGATTCATAAAGTTTATTCGGGTAGAATATAAAACGTTGGCATGTAATTCAAAATAATCTAATTAAAAAGTCTAAATGTGAGCAATTTGAAATAATTCAAAATATTATAGAATTATAGGGCACAAAGTTTGCAAAAAATCGAATTATTTCTTTTTACATCTTTGAAATTTTCCCAAATTTTTTTTTTTTTATTCATATTCAGGCCCGTGAATTTAGTATGTGAATATAATCTTTGTCAATTGTACCAATTCAAATGTACGATGGACTTTTCTCGCTACGTGAGATGTACAATTGCACGCGACGTAACCCATGAAAGAACGAGAAATCCGAAAGCCGCCTCAATGAGCACCAAAAGGTACCCAGACCTTTCCCGTATACAATCCAGATGATTGTAGCTTGTATGTGAGTCGATGCATTCGCGACATTGTTCCGGTTGATACATGACTTGTGAAAACCTTATGTTCGAATATCAAGAAAAAAATTTTTTTTTTTTCCGTCAAGAATTATTAATTTTTTTCGCATTATTGTTTTTTTTTTTTTATCATTGTGAAAATTCGGAATTTTTAAGCCATTTTACCAAATTACATTTCAATTAAAAATCGATTCGGTTCATGACAAGTTTTTTGAAAAAAAAAAAAAAAAAAAAAAAAAAAAAAAAATCATGTTTTAAAATAAAATGGACTAGTCAAATTTGGAAACTGAAATTTAGGAAAAAAAACCTGAAAAACAAAAATTTTTTTTTATTCAATTAAAAAAAAAAAAAAAAGATATGAGGTGGGGTTACAAAAAAAAAAAAAAATTTTTTTTTGACATTTCTTTGAAGGAGAACTGCTAAATGGTAATACGGGGTAACAATTAATTTGGTGATATTAACATATGAAAATAACTACTATATCAGGTTTTCATCCGAAATTCATCGTTAAACAAGGACAATATTTGCCCAGGGATTTTTTTTTTTTTTTTTTTTTTTTTGCAAGTAACTTCTTTTTCAGACAAATAGGAATCCTGCATATGAGCAAAAAAAAAAAGCCGATCACATATGAATCGTTAAATAGTGGCAAACTATCATTGCATATCTATCACCGCCACACACTATCGATTGCTAAATTTCTCAAAGAAATTACGAAATTAGATATCTAGATACGGGAGATACGGGAAATACGGGAGATACGAGAGATACGGGAGTATAAAGATTCTGTTACGGTATAATTAAAGGATTTTATGGTCTTTTGACAAGCAAAGGACGGGCAATTAAAAATAAGCTTCCGAAAATTCCCTTAATTCAATCTTCTAAAAAAAAACCTGTAGGGAAAAAAGAAATCGTTAAAAAGTATTGATTTTCAAAGTTATAAAAATTGTCCAATGACGGTTGGTTATTCAAACACAACAATGGTATCAAGCGTGGGATAATTGAAGCATTTCCAATTTTAGAGAGATGTTACCAAATTGACGGAACGTTAATCAGGGTCGGATTTGACTCCGGACCATTGACGTAGTAAGTCTAGGTAACGCTTAGATTTAGTTAGCATTTAAGCGGAAGATGGTCAACCCGATGGCGGAGCACATGGGCATGGCACACCTTCCCGCTTACTGCGTTCGAGCCTTGGACTTTATTTTGAACAGGTTGCAATATTCTTGATGTTTATAGGTCACGAAACAAATGATCATAAAGGTCGTGTGATCACTGAAACCTAGAATTTAAATAGAGATGAAACTGATAATAATAATAAGATGATGAATACAGTCATCAGCTGAATACAAAACCACGTTTGCATCGTGCTCAATTACATTGTGTAATGTATGTAAATGCTAGCCTTCACATAAATGCAAGCTAATCGCTCCGAATTTCCCCAATCAATCAACTTCTAAATATAACGCAGCTCAAAAGTACCGGCATGTTAGGATTTGTTGTTTTCCAGATTTGTGTAGAAAGATACGGGATGACTCACACTAGCCATAATTTTTGATTTTTTTTTTTTCATTTTCTTTCACGTTTTTTTTCTTTCTTTCTTTCTTATCGGCAACGTAATTTTGAAGGGGAAGAGGGTCGTATGACCAGAACAATTTCATAAATGGACATTATTGTCAAGACTTTAATAGTAAAAAGATGCACAAAGAAAGTGTGCTAGTTGATTATTTACATAGGAAGATCCATTATAAATTTGAAACGTAGTGACCAAAAGGATACGTAACTACAGATCATTTTCGTATTAACGACAATGCCACGCTGCATGGAGGCAAATTATTCTCTTAAAAAGGTTTCTTGCATTTTTATTTTTTTCTCCAACATATTTTAACACAACATTATATTCTTAAAC